AAACATCCTTCATGTCACCAGAGATAAGTATGTCAGAGTACACCTAACATTCCCTCAAGAAGCAGTCACTGGCAAGTGCTATTTACGTATCTCCAAAAACTTGTCAAACTCCAAGATCAAAGCCGACAAGGGAAACTTTTGAAGTCCCCTCACCAGTGTCAGAGGGCAGAGACAGAGACAGGGGCTCAGTTTCCACACACCCTGCTCATTAACCCACACAGACACAGAATATACCAGATTTTAGCCAGGTTTTACAAAGGTGTCACAGGAGTGAGTTAGTGTGGTGACTGAGAACACAGGCTCTGGTGTCAGATTGGTCTTTACTACCCATGGGCTGGGAGACACATCCTCTTCAGCCCACAGCTAGGTAAATCTAACACATGGTGGAATACCTAAAGGAAATGACAGAATGTATGTGACCCGCTCAGTACAGGACCCAGCAGAGAGTAGCATGCAGGCTACCCAGCCTCTATCAGCACACAGAAGTGAAAATGCTATGAAACGCTAATACTACATTCCAACTGAAAATAAGAACTTCAAAGCAAATCAATAATTGTGCTACTTCTTTTTTGTTTGTTTTTTTCTTTTTGAGGCAGGGTTTCTCTGTGTAGCCCTGGCTGTCCTGGAATTCACTTTGTAGACCAGGCTGGTCCAAACTCACTTAGATTCGCCCGCCTCTGCCTCCTGAGTACTAGGACTAAAGACGTGCGCTACTACCATGCCTGCCTTGCAGCATCTTTTTTTTTTTTTTAACTATACTATATCTCCACAGTTCTGGGGGAACGCTGTTGCTCTATTTTCTAAGTGTTCCCAAGTTTTCCATCTTGGGTGCTGTCAGGAGCAGTGTTCCACACAGTCTGCTCTCCACTAGTGCGTTTAGTCTTACCAGTTAGCTCTCTAAAAGTCAGTTCCAGTTTAGTTTGTTCTGGCGTGGATCCTCCCACAAACTCCGTCTGAGACTCCAGATCTGTGAATGATAAGTGGAGGGTCTCCTTCTGAAGTGACTTCTTAAACCAGGGTCCTCTCTCCTGGTCTGATCGGAGGTCAGGAATGGGAAAGCGAACAGAAAGATGCAGCGCTGGGGTGGCAACTTGTACAGACACCCGACGATTCGCAGGACTGTGAGAGTCATCTAGAAATACTTCAGTGAAAGCTTTATGCTGAAAGACATAAATCACGCCAGTGCTTAGCATTTCCGCAAATACTATCACTGCTCCCCCACATGCCACAATGCATCTAGATACAAGTCAAAGAAACCACCACCATAGAATGAAGCTTCAAATGAAACAGCTATTGCCCAGATCAAAACTGCTGAGGCAATAGCGGAATATTCATATAAAAATAAGTAAAGACACTATAGATCCCTACATATCTTACCATAAACTAAAAAGAAAAGGTGTGAACCAGCCTACTACCAAATTCAATAAAGTTAAAAATCATTACCATGCTCAACACTCAGTTTGAATAATTTGCCCATTTTAGGCTGCCCTAAGGGCCCAATATGAACTCACATGACTGCTGCCATCTACAAAGGCCAGTCTTACTCCTCTTTGCTTCCAAGTCTATGATCAGAGCAGGGCACACAAAGGTTCCAAGTGTTCACCAAAGGACTCCTGAGTCCCCCAGTTAAAATCATGCCATTCAAATAGAAGTCAATTTCTAATTTTCAATAAAATGCCCTGAAACTAATAAAAGCTTCAACATTCATCTTCCGAGTCAGTGTCAAGCCTTTCAGAAAGTCCCATTCCTATGGCAGCCTGGGATTTTTACAAGCAAGGCAAACATATAAGGCTTTACTGTGACATCTTCCTACACATGTCAGTACGTTTTGTTCCCATTCATTCTTCTGTCAAGCCCCTCCCCATTTCTAGCAGGTTCCCTTTCTTCTCTATGGTTAGAAACCAGCATTTTCACAGATCTATTCTATCTCATCCCTATTGGACTTCTTGACATAAACTCTAATCTCACAGTAAAGAAAACTAGGGATGGGACTGGAGAGATGGTTAAGAGCACTGACTGCTCTTCTAGAGGAGCTGGGTTCAGTTCCCAGCACCCACATGGCAGCTCACAACTGTCTGTAACTACCATTCCAGGGGATCTGACACCCTCACACAGACAGACATACATGCAGGCAAAATATCAATGTACATAAAATAAAACAAATTTTAAAAAAAAAGAAAACCAGTGATGATAAGGTCGTCCCAACACAGCCAAGGTTAACAGCCTAGAGACTGGCCTATACACTTAAGAATGCTGCTTTACTCTAAACACCAGGAACGATAGGCAAAACAGGCAGGAAATAAAATGTCTCTGTCCCTTTCCTTCTTGTCTTTTTAGAATGAATCTCATGTTTCTTTTTTTTTAAAAAAAAAATTATTTATTTATTTATTTATTTAGTATACAATATTCTTTCTGTGTGTATGCCTGCAGGCCAGAAGAGGGCACCAGATCTCCTTACAGATGGTTGTGAGCCACCATGTGGTTGCTGGGAATTGAACTCAGGACCTTTGGAAGAGCAGGCAATGCTCTTGACCTCTGAGCTATCTCTCCAGTCCCCGAATCTCATGTTTCTTAAGTGTGTTCCAAATGACAGCCCTCCTGTTTGAGCCCCAGAACAGATCTGATCACAGGCACTCACTGCTGTGTTGATTCCTTTCCCCTAAAGCTGCCTCTCAGACTGGGCCTGGTCCTACAGGCCACACATTCAAACTCCCAATTTACTGTTACAAGTCCATGCCACATACCAGAGCTGAGCAAAGTAATACAATGTGATGTCAATCACTCTCCAATCACTCTTTATTCTCAGAAGCACTCCTGTGCTACTTGGGCTTTACTTTTTACACCATTCGAGTTAATGCAATGTATGAAAATAAAACTTCATGGATATGTTACAGTATTCTCCAAGTCTAATCCCATTGAGCCACAATCAAATACTGTCAACTGATGGCCTAGTCATTCTTCTGCATATCGACTTTTTCTGCATGTACAGTTTAACATTAGTCTAAGGGAAGTCAGAGTGGAGCATGCCTGAAGTTTCCCACTGGGAAGGCTGAGACAGGAAGAACACAAGTTCCTGGCTGACCAATCTGAGCTAACAATGAGATGCTATCTCAGGAGGTTAAAAAAAAAGTTTGCATGGAAAAACATTCTATTTCTCATTTAACCCTTCCTGCAGAGCCTTCTTCACGCAGCTGATACCACACAGCATTCCCTGTCAGAAATAAAACAGGAAATGTCTTCCAGTAAAATTACCAAACCTTACCTGGTTCTTATCAAGGCAAAGAAGTCGCATCGTTGAGCTAGGTGGTGTACACTATGACCCCAGCTCTAGGGAGGTACAGTAGGCAGAAGGATCAAGAGTTCAAAGTCATCCTTGGCTACATATCAAATTTTAGGTCAGAACTGCACAAGAAATTTAAGAGTAATTTTTAAGCCCAGTAAGATGGTGCACACCTTTATTCCTAGCACTCAGAAGGCAGAGGCAGGCAGATTTCTGAGTTCGAGGCTAGTCTGATCTACACAGTGAGTTCCAGGATAACCAGGGCTATGTAGAGATGCTGTCTCAAAAAGTAAAAATAATTTTAAAATGTCTACTTTTTACTATTATATATAATATTGCTCTAACAGTCTATTTAATCTATTAGGACTTTTCTCAGAAATCCCAATAAGCACACGCTTATGTGCAACTTCTACATACTTACCAAACTAATATGCTTATTATATGATGCATACATGTGCGAGGCCATCATCTCTACTGTAGTGAGTTTTTGTGGTTGAAGCAAGGAATTTAACCTATCCACGATACTTATATCCAGTTCACAACACACTGGATTTAATTTAATTTGTAATTCCGCCTTCTGAGGAACTGAACTCAGTCTTGCTTGATTACCCTTTAAAAAAAAAACCACATACACACACACACAATTATTACCAAAACTATAAAACTTAACAATTATGACAAAAAAAGATCCCATAACAATCTGCAGTGGTGGCCACAGAGAGGCCTCTCACCTGGGGTCCTCTAGTCTCAGAGTGCTTATAGTAAAGCTGAAGACACACGGGGAGGTGGGCATCAGTCTCTTCTTTGGAATGGAACGTTAGAAGCTTAAAGACAAGAATGGAGATGAGTTAAAGCTAGGGCATTAAGCTACAATCGATCATGGAAATACACAGAGGCAGTACTGAGGTGAGAGGAGCTCTCGGAAGTCAGAAAAGCTGGTCCCAAACTTCATTTCTGCCACTTTCTAGCAATGTAAATGTCACTCAGGCAGTGAACTTCTGTGAGTCTCAGCTCCTCACCTGAAGCAAAGTTTCAAACTGATCAACATCTAAGAAAAAACTTTAAAACAAAATAAAATGGCAGGCTCATAACCTGTCTGCCTCCTCAGATAATTCTCATTTCATTTCAAATATTTACTAGCTTCATGGAATAACCTTTAACAACATACTTTAAAATTTGTCTCAACAATCACAACAATAAAACACTAACACTCTTTGTGATGCCGGTATGCTCTAAAGAAAACTGTTATTGTTCATTCAATTCTTTAAAAAGCAAAACAAATCTAAAAATCATCCAAGGGAGTACCCAACATTTACCTCTGTGTAGTGGGGAGGGACAGAATGAAAATCTGTTGGGAACAGACACTCCAAAAACTCCATTTGCTCAATCGACATGTCGGTGCTAAAATGGCGGGACGCTGACCTTTGTCTCTGCTCATAGGACACTTTGACGCCAGTACCTAGAAATCTACCATAAAAAAAGAAGCATTTAAAAGTCTCCACAAGCTTCTAGATTAAACAATCTACATAAGCCTAGAGAGCAACATGCAAATGTTAGTATAATAATTACATGCCTACTCTACCAAGTTCAAGCTGTTAGTAATCATTAATATCCCTAAGAACATGAGCTTCACATTTCCTATTCCTTAACATCTCTACTGTGGGAAATTACCCAGGATGCCTGTATTGCCCAACACTGCCCTTCCTTCGACACTCTGACCCTGAAGTGGATAAAATCTCAGACCTGGCCAGGCATGGCACACACACGCCTTTAATGTCAGCACTTGGGAGGCAGAGGCAGATGAATATCTACAAGTTTGAGGAGAGTCTAGTACACAGTAAGTTCCAGGCCAGCCAGGGTTAGGCAGCAAAACGGTGCCTTAAAACAAAACAACTTAAAAAAATTGCAGATCTATAAAATGTATGACATGGATTCTTAAAACTATCTAAAAACATCATTCAAGCTGGGCATGGTGGCAAACACCTGAAATCCCAGTACTCTGGAAGATGAGACAAGAAGACCATGAGTTTGAAACTGGTATTTTTGACAGTTGGGACTATCCCAAAAACCAAGGACCAACGAGGCAGAACTTTAAAACTTCAGTTGATGGGGTTCACATTTTTTATGTCATATTTTCTACTTGCAGATATCTGGAGATTTGAAAAACTGAGGGGAAAAGGTTCTTACAATGTAACTTGAAGTACTATGGTCCTAACCTGTAAAGCATCTTTTGATGGGGGTCAAAAACTACTTCGCATGTTAATTTTAACACTCCAGAAAATTTACATTAAAATTACCTCGAGCTAGGGTAAGGGTTTAGGTCAACTGGTAGAGCACTAGCCTTGCATGCATGAAGCCCTGGGTCCAACCCCTCAGCACTGCCTAAAACCAAACATGGCAGCTCACACCCATCATCTCATAAGGTAGAGGCATGAGGACAGAGAGGAGTTCAGGGTTATCTGAGGCTGCCTGAAAGTTTGAGGCCAGACTGGACTATATCATGAGATCCTGTCTCCAAAAACAGGCATTCTCTAAAATACAAATTTTCTTTGTCTACACATTATACAAAATATCACTCACTTTACATAGCGCCATTTATATTAAAATAAAACAGTATTTGCATGCTAATCCTATAGTATCCAATTATCCAATTTAGTCAGCTCATCTATTAGTCAACTCATGAGGGCTCATGGTTTTAGGAATCAGCAGAGTCTGGCAGTGGTGGTGCACGCCTTTAATCCCAGCACTCAGTAAGCAGAGGCAAGTGAATTTCAATGAGTTTGAGGCCAGGGTGGTCTACAGAGTGAGTTCCAGGACAGCCAGGACTGTTTCACAGAAACCTATCTGTTTTCAAAAGCAAAAAAAAAAAAAATCATTTGAGCACTCAGCCCAGGCTTGGTATTGCTACCCACCTCCCATGGCCTAGCACCAGCCTTTCCCAAGCTCTCCTCATCAGTACCGCTCTCAGCACACCACCATCTCTGCCACTGCCAGTGCCCAAAGAACCATTTCCATCATTTCAATAGTGATAGCAGGGATGGTGGCAAAATGTGCTAAGACAAACTAGCAAGAACAGGGAGGGAGCTGGGCATTTGTGGCGCACACCTTTAATCCTAGCACAGAGAGGCAGAGGCAGGCAGATCTCCGTGAGTTCAAGGCCAGCCTGTTCTACAAGCTAGTTCCAGGACAGCCAGGACTATTACACCACAAAGAAACCCTGCCTCAAAAAAAAAAAAAAACAGGGAGGAAGCTACAATCTATCTAGATCTATATCTGCATCATCATTCTCACACTATACAATGTGAAGGGGAGACCCCTATGAATGTATCTCTGTATTACTGCAGTAAATTTCACTTGTTATCCACTGAAAACCAAAACAGGAGGGAGTAGACAGATAACAAAGTATGCATTTGGGGCTTTCTGAAGTAATCAGAGGGTTCACCTAAGGTGATCATGTGAACAAGCTTCTGCAAAGACTGCTCGGAAGGACTTAAAATCTTCTGCTGACAATCTTGTTGGGTCCATCTTTTCTATTCGAGAGAAGAACGCGACCGCCATGGGTGTCAAAGGATTAACATTTGGGGATGTTTCCGCTGGAGACAAAGGATCGATGTGAAGCACGGAGACTGAGAAGATGCCGACTGCCAGTCTACAGATGAACTCAGGCCTGGATTCATCCACTGAAACAGACCTCGAGGGCAGGGCTGAAATACATGCAGTTCTGAGTCAGAATTCAGAACATCTTAAACAGACTGCTACCCTGTTCATCTGGTATGCAGGGCTCTTGCACCTAAAGCACAAGAGTTCATCTCAGTAAGCAGAAATGTGTGGACACATCTTTTAGACTATAAAACTGTTAGAAAAAAATTAAAATCAACCAAAAGCTCCACACCAAACTCTCCCTAAGTTTGGCAATTGTCCAGTTAAATTTTGAAGAGCAAGGATCAAGAGTATAGAAAATGACAAAGCAATTGCCTAGCATGCTCATGGTACTAAGCTCAATCCCCAATCCTGGGGAGGGAAATGCAGAACCAAAACAGATTTTTTTTTTACAAATAATATAAAAACACTGAGAAAAAGACTTAAGAAGCTAGGGTATAATTTAATGATGGAGCACTGGCTGAGAACTGTCAAGGCCTCAGGTTCTATGCCCAATGCTACACATGAATATACATACACAGGCCCACACACATACACACAGGCACATACATACACATGAGCACACCTACACATATACATACAAAAAACATAAACATATATACAAACATACATGTGCATGTGTGTATACACTTACACACAAACATATGCACACATACACAAATACATATACCATATACACAAACACACACAGCACATATAAATACACAGGCTTATATACACACCATACACACATGCGCATGCACGCAGACACACACACACACACAAATCAGATAGTTAACTGTAAGTTTTAAATTGCAATAATATGAAACATATAGAATATTTTTCCATAATATCTATGTATTTAAATATACAAAGATTATAATGAGTACCAAGCACAGCGTTATACACCTAGCAACCTAGCTAACACCCAGGCGGTGGAGGTGAAAAGGTCAAGTGAGATCAGTCAGTCTGCACTACATAAGACCCTGTGTCAAAAACAAAAAACAAACAAAAATAGAATATAATGAATAAGTAACTATACTAAAATATTTTCCAATGAACTACTCAATTATTCTTTTCTTTCTAAACTTTGTGATTGCCCAAGACTAAAAGAGAAATTACAAAAGACACACACACACACACACACACACACACACACACAAAATGTAGCAGTACAGAGTGTAGGCTTGCCATGTACAAGACCCTAGGTATAGTCGCCAGGAGCACAGAAAAAAATTAGATGGATGATTGATAAATAGATAGCTATGTATAGGTAGACAGACAGATATACATACATGATAGAGAGAAAATGAATTAGATGTTTATTCTGAAAGGAGGGAAGGGGAAAAAGCAAAACAAATTATCTTATAGATATGCTTTTCCTTTTAATTTTCAAGGCCTCTGGTGGAAACTAACCAGCTTTTGGTAAAGGCGCCGGGTGGACCAAGTCAGATGAGAATGCTGGCCCTCTTACAGGCTGCTCTTTGTGGTCCGCAAACTCCCCCCAAGTTGGCTGCAACTGCAAGAGATTGGTTTAAATACATAACTAAATGATCTTAGAGGTGTCTTTTGAAAAACAGAGAACATGGAGTAATACTTTACCACAGTAGCACTTAGTGGCGATCCTGCAGGTGTGTTTGTATATGTACTAGTCAGGGATAACTCCAAGTCCATGTGTGGAGGGTCCCCAAGGGGTGGAAGAGAAGACAGACTGTGAGACATGTCCATGTCGGCCATGGAGAAGAAAACTTCTTCTTCTAGAGAGAATTAGGCTTCATCACATGATATATTCCACCAATGTGCTCCTTCAAGTAGTCTGTCCACACTAACAGACACAGCTGTGTGTGGCAGGTCTGAGCATGGTTGTCAGTAGCACAGTAAACACAAAACTGCACAGTCAGCAAAGGTCAAGTCTCCCTAAGTCTTTCGTGGGTTTATATGACATGCAGCAATACAGCAAATTTTTAGTTGTCATATGGCAAGTTATAAGTTAAAATTCAGATTTTTAAATGGTACAAGCTCACACAGGGCCCTGAGTTTCATCTCCAGCACCAAGTTGCAAAAGATAAAATTGTGTAACTATTTGCAATCTCTGGCTTCTTATGGATACAGCTACTTCCCAGATGGGAAAGGAGGACCAGAGACATTTAGAATTGTATTGACAATTCAATGTCTTCTCTCTAATGATTGTCTGTCCTCACACAAATCAAGTTTGTTATGTCTCAAAGTTCTTAAGTAGGCATTAATTTTTTTTTTACTTAGTTCACATTTCACCAGATTCTTACTATTTACACTAGTGCCCATACGGTGAACAAGATGGAAGGGTTATCGACGCTTCCTACTGTACACAGCACACAATTATAAGAGCACACAGTGAAATAATGAGCTATTCCCAACCTACTTATGTGTCACTGTACATTTTTACAAACTGACTTTCCTTAGGGAAAAACACCATTGCTTAGGCCAACTACACTTGAGAAACGGTAGTGCTGGTGCATCACTGTATCGCTGGTGAGTCAACAGAACAGAACCAAACATCATGTAGGGCTTCTGTTCCCCACTGCTAAATGTTTGTTCCACCAATGGGATAACAGAGGTCCAGTGTTGACTGCAGGAGCTGCTTACCACGGCTAGAAGGTGTACGAGCCGTTTCTGTTTCATAGAAGCTTTTCTCTGAAGATACACCCATAGACAGGGAATCTTTCCTCAGATAATACCGGTTTAATTCCATCTGAATTCGATATTCATCTTCCTGCTGCATGGGTCGATTTTTCCTATCTTTATTAGCTAACCCAATTTTGCTAGAATTTTCTACAAGTATATAAAAAGAAACAAAAATTCAATTTGTAGTTATTTAAGCATTTCTTTCCAAAACCCCACTTATCCAATAGCAACCTGATCACACTAGCTGAAAGCCAGTTGCATGAAGCAGAGGCCTAAGAAACATAAGCAAGTAGCCAACAATCTAAACTCTTAACTCTAGAAGATATAAGTATTTAAAATAATGTGTGAGTTATTGTATACAAAAATTACATTTTTACTGTATGGGTTCTTTTGTTTGGTTGGTTTGGGTTTTTGGGACAGAGTTTTTCTGTGTAGCCCTGGCTGACTTAGAACTCTCTCTGTAGACCAGGCTGGCTTTGAGTCGCAGAGATCTGCTTGCTTCTGAGGCATGAGCCACCACTGCCTGGCTCAGAACAATTTTTAAAACAAATATGATCAAATAACCTGAATGCAAATGTACAGCATGACAACAATAAAGTAATTAGCATATCTACTTAAAATATACCTTCAATACCATATACTCCAAAATATATTTTCATCAGTCTATGTTTTATATTCTCACCTAACAGTTTCAAGAATTAGAGGAAATAATTATAACAGTCATACTTGCCTGGTCCAGCAATAGCTGCTAACATATCCAAAAGCAGATGTACCTGCCTTGGTGACAGGAATAGATGAATGGAATCTATCTGTCCATCAACATCCAACTTAAAGACATAAGAACAGTTGAGAGTAAGTACTTTACAAGCTCACCACCAGGAATTAGGTAGATGTTAGGGTACTAAAGTAAGTATCACCCTTGGTTTTGGGCAGCTTGACCTAATTCACATCATCTCAGCAAAAGGGCATAAAGACCAGCAACCGTGGCTGCAAGAGGGAAAACCCTGAGAAATTCCATGTCAGTGAGTCCAGCATCATGCTGTCTGTAAGTCTTCTGGAGACTGTAGAGCACAGCAACAAGATGGTATTCATCACCTTTCAGAACAACCAAATCCTTAGGACCAATGGAGTCAGCATCTGTGAGACTGTGTTGGCCACACTGGGACTCTACAGCATGCTTCTCAGGAGCCTACTGTGCGTGCTGCATGGACAGTACTTTCTCCCGCACAGGAAGCTAGAAGTCATAGTCGAAATCCAGACAGAAATCAGCATTAATGAATGCTTTCTTGTTCTCTGTGCACACTTTCTCCTCATGTCTCACTTGGTATGGTGAGCACCAAGCCATCACCCAGCCCCTATTCTCTACTTACTACTGTTTGTTTTACAAACAAGGACACAGACCCACAAAGAAAAGTTAACATAGCTCTGCAGCCAGATCTGAACCTAGGCAGACACAAATGCAAAGCCTTACTCCTTCTACAACATGGCTCTCCTGTTGTGCCTACAGACTGAGAGTTTTATGGGGTTCCTTACAGACTGGTGATACACAGGCCACATTCAGAATGGGGAAATGTGTTTCTATTACTGGACAAGTTTATTTCTTGTACTGAAACCACAATCTCTGGTTTTCATTAGGATGGAAAATCAGGAGTTTCATTTCTAATTGTCATAAGATGTTTCATTATGGATACATTCTGAATTTGGAATACAAACAAATTACTGCTATCTTTTGAAAATATAAAACACTGAAAATAACAACTAAGCCAAAGCAGTCCCCTGCTATTGTATAATACTTTCCCCAAAAATCCACTAAAATTGAACGTGTGATATACAACAGACTCCAGAGACACTATCTCAGAACTCACAGCTGAAAGACTCAGGTTTAAGGAATGCTGGGAAAGACTAAAGCTCTAACCTCATATGCTGCCCTGTTACATCTACTCTGTGCTACCATTTCTAAGCTCTAGGCTGCCCACTGTTGATCTCTAGAACTTAATTTTTCCATATAACATTCATTTACATTGAACAAAATATACACATTAGTATATAAAAACATTAATGTACAAGCAAGGATGATAGTATCTCCAAATATTCAATACTGGCTGGAACTGGACTATACCACCACCACACAATACTACCACCTGCTACTCTGTCCCTTAGTATCTAGAATTTAAAAATCAACATACAGAATAGTTACACAAATCAAAATACAGCATGCAAAACTTTACATCTACATGGAAATCAGAGCTTATGGATGTGGACCATATCCAACCGAAACAGAACCATGAAAGCTTTGCTCATGGATTTTGCTTCTTTAAGAAATGTGCTCCCCAAAGACACACAAGTGCTGGTTTCCAAAGGCTGTTGCCACAGCAGGGCAGTCCCTGCAGTATTTACAGCTACCTATACTATCTGCTCTATAAGCAACCTCCTCAGAAGCCAGCAGGGAAGACCTGGTACAGGACTTCTTAACCTGAGAGCAGTTCACAAAAAGGAAAACAGGAAATCTAGGCCAGAACACTGAGAGTGAAGACAGTAGATACTTAGTCACAGGACAGCCCACAGCAACCGATCACTATGCCCCGTGTAGATTAAATACCTGTAGTTTTGCAGAGAAAACACAATACTGACCTTAGCTCCTGGAAGCACTTCATTCTGTTTCAAAGTGAGACTCAATTCCAGTCTGCCCACTAGACCTCCAATCTGCACTGGATCCGAAGGTGCTATCTCTGGTAAAGTTCTAGTTAATTGTGGGTGTGGCTCATAAACAATTTTGGGGTTCCAGCTAGGTGACAGCTTTGGCTCAGTTTCCTACAATAATGTAATAAAAATAAAGTAACTATTTTAGCACAAATGAGTCCGGGTGTATATAAATGTCACCTTGGATTTGGCAGGCAGAACTGCATCATCAACCCTCCACCAACTGAGCAACACCTCCACCACTGTCTGGGGGACTGTTTCATTTTTCTTACCACTGGTGCAGTTGAACACACTGGGGAAGATTTCGCTGAAGCAGAAAATTCATCCCAGAAGAGAGAGACTCCAGAGAGCTGCAGCAATTTGTGAGCAAAAGCTGTGGGCTGATGCACATTGACTCCTGAGGACTCATCGGCAGTTTCATCACAGTACACAGTTCTGAAAGGTACAAAAGGACATGTATAAGAAATTCCTGGGACACACACTTTCAATGAGATTTTAAAAGACAGAGTGCTTTTAAGTTAAAAAAAAAATGTCAGTGCTAGGACCCCTACAACTATGCCTATGAGAATGCTTGCAGCCCAGCACAGAGAAGGTAGAGGCAGGAGAACCAGGATCAAGGGCAGTCTGAGCTATATGAGATTCTGTCTCAAAAGAATTTTGCTTGGTTGGTTTTGTTTTTCCAGACAGCATTTTTTGGTGTAGCCCTGGCTATCATGAGACTTCTCTGTATACCAGGATGGTCTTGAACTCACAGAGATCCACCTGCCTGACTGTCCCTGTGCTGAGATTAAAGATGTACCCCACCACCATCCGGCAAAAGAATTATATTTAATTGGGAAGAAAATGGGGGATTAGAGGGAGTGGGAACAGACAGGAAAGAATAACTCAGGTATGTGTGTTAAAGTACATTATGTGTGTGTATGAAAATATAATAAAACTCACTTTTATAAAACATTTTCATATCTATAACATATGTCAGAATTGCTTCACTAAATGATATTTAAATAAGTAAAATAAAATTTTCACAAAGAGAGAGACCTAAAATCTAAGAAAGATAACTTTAAAAGGCTCTTAAATTTCAGGGAAAAAATATTAACTTCCTAAAGTTAACCCAAGGGAACAAACCTTATCCCCCTCACAAAACTTGAGTACTGCTATGTAGCCCAGGCTGTCTCTAACTCCCTACCCTCTCTTACCTCCTCTTCCCAAGTGCTAGGATTACAAGCACTGAATCATAGCAAGACCCCATTTGTCTCCGATGACTTTGTTTTGAATTCTTGTGTTAGCAACCTCCAGTTTAATGAGATAAATAACATGGCTCTAATTGGATGTTATTGTTTTATTATATACCACCTAAGGTAATGTACCCGACCTCCAAAGATCTGTAACAACTATTTTACTTTTAAGTGTATCTTTGTTAAAGATTACAACCACAAAAATAACTGTACAAACCTTGGGAAAGGCCCCAAATAGATGCACATATAATGGGTCTTTGGTATTCACTGTATATTTTTTAAATGTATATATGGGTATGTGTATCTGTGTGAGTATACGCCATGTGTATGCAGGTACCCAGGGAGAACAGAAGAGGGCACTGGATCTCAATGAATTAAACTTGTAGGTCATTATGAGCTGCTCTACATGAGTGCTGGGAACTGAACTCAGGTCCTCTGGAAGAGCAGGAAATGCTTTTAACCACTGAGCCATGTCTCCAGCTCCCCTCAAAGGACATTTCTGTTAGAAGATCATATAACATGGCAATGGTTGAGCAGTAACTACCTCAAATCAATACTGTGTCAGAACTCTAGAGAATATACATAAAAAATAAAAGCAACATGTCTGACTTTAGTAAATTATCATTAGATATTTAACCCTCACAAAGTCCTCAAAAGAAACACCACCATCATTTTTTTTCACTAAAGAAGTATCCAAGCCAAATACCATAAGAAAATTGCTTATTAGACAAGCTCAACATAACACTGGATATAATCACATGCTAAATGATGCTTACAATTTCTGTAATGGGATGAGAAGATAACTCAGAGAGCTGTATTTACTCTGAAATTGTACAATATATTAATTTATTATCGCCTCTGGTCTCTCGAAGTGTCCCAAAGTGTAATGTCAGAAACAATTTCCAGACCAAAAAAAAAAAAAAAATCTTACCTCTCTACTCGGATCTCAAGCGCAGCTCCAGTTTTGGAATTTTCTGGCACATGTTCAATTCTTAACACAGTGTCTATAAAAGTAACTTTCACTCTTCTTAGCACTAGAGCAAATGAGCAATCGTCAATGAAAAACCACGAGTACACCAAATAAAAACCCGACCTCCACCTCGCCCCCTCCTCCAAGCTGCTCGGGACAAAGTCAAGAACTCCTTTATGCTGGGCAAGTGCTTATTCCCCATCACTGCTGCCTCTCCATCCACTCTCAGTAAAGAAATAATTTGTAGTCTGGTAAAAAAAATAAAAAAAGCAGATTTCTTTCCTTTCTGAATGCCCAGAAACTGAATTTTGTAAAACACACTGTACCCAAAGCATATCACCAAGCTACATCACAACAGACACTTGGGACAATGTTGGTTTGTAGGCTGCCAGATCCTCCCATGGGCTACAACTAAACAAGGAAAAACTGAGTGAAATGTTTAAAACAGCCTGAATCCTAAAGTACTGAAGTGAGAACAGTAATTCTTTTAAAAATCACTGCAATGAAATGATCTCAGGCCCCAGACCACTACAGAAAGCTTGGGTTGTGAAGGTCTACATGATGCAAACCTGTTTCAATGGTTTCCGCAAACTTTTCTAGCCCTTCGAAAGGCTGGGATGCTTCTCCTTGCTCATCTGTCAGTTTCTGGCTAAGACACTCCTTTGCCAGCTGCATACTGCTGGTCATGAAGCTTGACCAATACATAGGCTCAGACCCAGTCGCTGCAGAAAGTACAAATAAACCTAAATAATTTCTGTTATGTTAATGGCATTTCTTAAAGTATTATATTTTATGTTAGATTTTCTTTTTTTTTAATATTTATTTATTATATATACAGTATTCTGTCTGTGTATATGTCTGCAGGCCAGAAGAGGGCACCAGACCTCATTACAGATGGTTGTGAACCACCATGTGGTTGCTGGGAATTGAACTCAGGACCTTTGGAAGATCAGGCAATGCTATTAACCTCTGAGCCATCTCTCCAGCCCCTTATGTTAGATTTTCAACATTATGATGTTACCTGTGAGAAATTATATTAGACATTTAAGAACCACCTTACAATAACAGAACAATATAAATACAGGATAAAAAAGCCTTGCTAAATCGGGCGGTGGTGGCGCACGCCTTTAATCCCAGCACTCAGGAGGCAGGGGCAGGCGGATCTCTGTGAGTTTGAGGCCAGCCTGGTCCACAAGAGCTAGTTCCAGGACAGGCTCCAAAGCTACAGAGAAACCCTGTCTCGAAAAAAAAACAAAAAACAAATAAACAAAAAGCCCTACAACATATTTTTATTTCAAGTTTTATTTTTATCAAATTTTAATTTATACATTCATTCAACAAATTCTAGCAGGCATATTTACTCGTACATGGCACCATGCTAGACACTACAGAGCAAGAGCTAACAAATATCCTCTGTAAAGGGTTCAGGCAGTAGATAGTTAGGCTTTGTGAGCAATGTGTTGTGTTGAGCAAAGTTCTCAGAGTGCCAAAGCAGCTATAGAGAGTAAACAAACAGTATGGGTCTGTTTCAGTAAAAGTTGACTTAATAAAAACATTAGACTAATTTAGCCTGAGAGCTGAGGTCTGCTAACCAACTACAGAGATAGAAAAATTATGAGTTATGCACTTAAGACAGTTTACCACACATTAGGAGAAAAGATGACTGTCAAGGATGAATAGGGAGGTATCACTAGGAACTCCAGCAGCAGCAGATGACAACGGCTGCAGAATTGGTACAATGAGGGTGGAATAAAAGGGTGTCCTCACAGGAGTAAACACAGGGGCCCTAAGAACCCTTCCAGACCTCTCCTGCTGAGGAAATCCATACTTCCATACACTGCTCAAAACAAATTGACATATTACTCAAATTACTGCCTTCCAAAATGGAACCTAAAGGCCATTTTAATAGGCTGCTTTAAAAGGGAAAATATTTCAAAGCTCAACTTCCAAAGGGAGTATTTATCCACCATGGCTAAAAGATAGAATCAACCAGGACTGGTGGCACTAGGGAGGCAGAGGCAGCAGGGTTTCTGTGAGTTCCAGGATAACCAGACCTATATAGTGAGATCCTGCCTCAAAAAAACCCTAATAATAATGATGATGATCAAATAATTTTTGTTGTCACTTGGGTTTTGTTTGAGATAGAATCTTACTATGTACTCAGGCTGACCTCAAACTTGCATCATCCTGCCTCAGCCTGAGAGATGGGACCATTGGTATGTGTTACCATACCCGGCTAGATACAATGTTCTTATAAAGTAAATTATCTAGGAGCTGGGATGATAGTTCAGTCAGTAAAGTTCTTGCTTTGTACGCGTGAGGACCTAAGTCTGTGCATTTTAAAAAAAATTAATATGGTGATCCTAGCGCCAAGGAAGAGTGACTAGCAGATTCCTGGGACTCTCTGGCCCACCAGCCTTGCCTATGTAAGTACAGACTAACAGACTTTGTCTCAAAAACATAAGGTACATAGAAACAATAGCAGAGGATGTTCTCTGGCTTTAAAATTCATGCACACAAACACCGATATCAGATTGTTTCCAGGTATGGTGAAATACTACTACAATTCCAGCACTCAAGAGGCTGAGGCAAGAAGACCACGGGCTCAAATCATGGACAGCCTGGCTGCATAGTGAAATTTCCCAAAAATAAATGAATTAATGAATAAAATATTTAGAGCATTTCTACTTTCAAAATAGATCACTATAGCTCTACGAATTTAAACTTGTTTTCCGGGAAACATTTGGACACATTCATACATGGCATTACCTAGATGATCATGTCTGTCCATTTCTCTGAGTCACACTACAATTGAGAAGCACATCCCTTATCCAGGCCCACCTTTCATAACTGTCATCACTATGGATGTGGCAAAAGTTTTTTTGTTGGCAGTGGTAGATTTTTAGGGATTTTTGTTGGTTTGTTTTGGTTTGCTTTTTTGGTTTTTCAAAACATAAAACAGGGTTTCACTGTGTAGCCCTGGCTATACTGGAACTTAGACCAAGCTGGCCTTGAATTCACAGAGATCTACATGCCGCTGCCTCCCAAGTGCTGGGATAAAAGGCGTGCACCACCAGCGCTGTGCTAATGTGGTGAGTTTTAAATTTAGTATTATAATCATTCGCTGTCATTATTCTTCAACACTACACCGATGAAAATCCCTTCAAATTCAGTCCTGGAGGCTGGAGAGGTCAGCAGTGAAGAAAGAGCCTGTACTGCTCTTCCAGAGGACCTACGTTTGGTTCCAGCACCCACATCAGGCAGCTCATAACTACGTGTAACTCTAGTTCCATCCAAGGCTTCTGACCGCCAGGTAAATACACTCATGTGCATACATACCCAATCTCACTCCCTACATATACATAATTTAAAATAACAAAAACTTAAATTTAAAAAGTCTAATCTTATGCCCTTCCAACATTTCTCCATGAATCATTGAACAGTCTTCCTCATTTGAAAACACAATATTTTCAAAATATTCAATCTTCAAAATAGAAGTCACTTCAGCTAATAGGAAATAATCACATATTATTTATACATTAATGTTCTGGAGTGTGAATAAGGAGGGAACATTCTAAAGGTATACTTACATACATCTTTCAAAGTACTAAATCCTCTTATTTAATCAAATGAACATCTCACAAATCCAGTTCAAAGTCATAAATCCAACGCTCAATTTTTTACAATTGGGTTGACTTCTCAGCCTTTATAGGATTGATTCTGAATAAACAGAACAGGCACATGCAACACACCTACCTACACGAGGTCTAGGTCGGAAGACCATCTCCAGTCCTCTCACTTCCAGTGCACAATTGTCCTGCAGCAAGGAGCCCCATGGAACTGACAGGGAAATTGACTGAATGAATCCTTCAGTGACTTCTAAAGGTGCGTCTGCTGACTCCAGGATTTCATTGAGACACTAGAGAGAAAAACCAAGTTCATTTTGAAATTTGAAAACACACGTGATTTAAAAACACAGAATGCCAACCTTTTCAGCAATATGAATACGCCCACAAATGTGCTGAGCACTGGAGATTTAAGAAAGCCACAGCTGGGCTGGAAAAAGGCTCAGCAGCTAAGAGCACTGGCTGCTGTTCCAGAGGACCAGGGTTGGTTTCTGGGACCCACAGGGTAGCTCACAACCATCTGTAGCCCCAGTTCCAGAGGATCCAACACTCTTCTGGCCTCCACAGACACCCCTTCTTCTGACAGCACACAGAAAGGCTCTTTGCCTGCTAGTCCTCCCACGCACTGGCAAGTCCAGCCCTTCACTCTCATTGCGAGTACCAACAGAGTCTAAGTTTTCGGGATCCCAGTGTACACTGAAGACTATCCGGCTTCATGAACTGAACAACTACTGGATTCTCTGACTTTCCTTTGGTAGGCAGCCATTGTTCGACTAGCTAGAGCACAGCCTGTAAGCCACTCTAATAAACCCCCCTTTCTGTATACATATACATTCATTCTATCAGCTCTGTTCCTCTAGAGATTCCTGACTAATACAAAAAGCTTGCCTCAGGAGGTCTGTCTGAACCCTAAAGATTGTCCAGGGATTTACACACAAGGATGATTTTTTTAAAAGTCTCTTAAGACAGGGTTTCTCTGTGTAACAGAGATGTCCTAGAACTCTCGTAGACCAGTCTGGCGTCAAATTCAGAGATCTGCCTGGCTCTGCCTCCCAAGTGCTAGGATTAAAGGTAGCAAGGATTTTTTTATTACAATTTTAAACTAATAAATTTACATGTATTTGTTGTTTATTATTTAGTGGGGGAGTATTTGCACATACGTGTATGAAATATCTGTGCTGTGTTCTCACTGGTGAACACACAGATGCATGTGCTCACTGTGTGTGCACACGTAAGGTCAGAGGTCAATGTCAGGTATCCTTCTATCCTCCTCAGTTACTCCCCACCTTTCCAAGCAAGGTCTCTCACTGGATCTAGAACTTGGTGATTATGCTAGGCTAGCTCCACAAGGGCATCATTGTATCTGACCTCCTACAAGGTGCTGCACAACCAAACTCCAGTCCTCATGCCTTCAGGGCGAGCACTTCACCAACCGAGCTTCCCAGACCCAGCCCTCAACTCTTACATCCTCCTCCCATCCTAGTCCCGAGGACTGCCCTACTTTTTCGAATTCTAACTTCCCACTGCTTCTGTGACATGTCACCATCTTTCCAATCCATTACCACTTAAAATATGCTCACGTAAATGTCATTCTCTGCCTGTTTCCCCACCCACCCTCCACACTGCACGCATTCTCTGCACACCACTCACACTGACGGCCCCCAACAGTTATCAATGCCAATCCTCTAATCCCTCGACCCCTTGTAGTCTCGGCCTGTCATACAGCTCCTCGAACCCCCTTCCTCCTCCTCCTCCCCTTCTCTTCCATTAGGCTGCTGTAAAACAAACTGCAAGGGTCAGAAGTTAAAGTTTGACAATTTAGTTTAATCCCCAGGACAAGGAGAGAACTCACTACCACAAATTGTCCCCCGACCTCCACATGTATGCCACAGCACACTCATATACCCATCTGGTAGGAGAAAGCCGACTTATCCTGACTGCCACATGTATAATGTGACATGCACAAGCCAACTGCACACACATGTATACAAAAATAAGTACTTTTTACAATCTCTGCTTCAGGATTTGAAGGACTCTTACAGAGCATCATCTGCACCCTGTTGGATTTTCCCCATTTTTTTAAAAAAAAAAAAAAAAAAAAAAGCTTGAAGAGGCAGTCATCGGTTGGAGAGAGGTCAGATGAGGCAAACTCCAGAGCCAGTATGTTCAACTTTTGAAAACAGTGATTGTACAAGGTGCAGTCAGATGTTGTCACGGAGAACTGAGTCCTTTCTGTTGACCAATGCCAGTTGTAGGCACTGCATTTTGGGGTGTTTCTCATGAGTTTAGGTGAGCACACTCATCAGATGTAAGGGCTTGGCCAGGACACAGAACTCAGACACCAAACAGTGACCATGACATTTTTTGGTGCAAGTTTGACTTTGGAAAGTGCTATGGGGCATCTTCTCTGCCCGGCCACTGATGTGGCACCACTGGTTGTCACACACAATCCACTTTTCATGGTTCATCACAACCCAATGGAGACCTGGTGCATTGTGAGAACAAAAGAGGAGAACCATACTATGGCAAGCCCATAACACTATACAACAAAAGTACAGGTGACCAACCACTAGACAACTTCACAAAAAAAATATAATATTGAACCAAACTGTAAAAAAAAACAAAGAAGAAAAAAATATAATATAATATATTATATTATATTAATATTTATTAAATATAATAAAAAAATATAATATTGTGAAGAACCCATTTTACAGAGCTGCAGGAACACTTGTCTTTTGGATAAGTCACTGTCAGTTCCATAGAAATCTTGTGGAATCATGACATTTCTCCTTTCTACAGTATCCCAGTAGTGTATAGACTTGACTTTTCCTGTAGGGAAACTGCAGACCCCGCACACACACACCATGAAGACTTGGTATGAAAGCATTCACTCAGTCAAACCTTTGTACTCAACATAAAACTAATCCCTCGTAGCTTTCTTTGCTGACATTACTCATTGATTAGAAAGGAGCCCCAAGCAGGAGGCATTGAATAGAGAAACAGTATACCTACTCTAACAGCAGACTCAGGAAGGTGTAATCTAATGGTCTTCTGCTTAACCTAACAAATCACTAATATTCTGTATTTACCCTTCACCTTGGTTTCAGTAAACATAAGATCATAGTCCAGGAAATTAACTGTCTATACAGGGGAAAGGCCTGAGTCACTTAAACTAGCTTCAGAGAGAAAATCTCACTTGGGCACCCTGCTGAAGTCAAAATCAAATTACAAAAATCCAAAACTACAATTACTTTTACGGCAAGCTAATAACCTTTTCTATCCCAGCAGCAACCCCTGCCTCTGATAGCTGTCCAGTAAGAGTTTTCCTGCTATTATGTTTTATATTTTCCATATTAAAAATGGCTTCAAGTCTTTGATAGGTTTAAGTCATTTTAAAAAGTTTTTGAATACCTGACCCCAAAAATAAAGTCCTCCGTATAAAGTAGAAAAGATAAGCTCAGAAATGCTTGCTTCTGTATTAAGTATTTCCACAATTTAAATTCAAAACCTGGGTGTCCTATTTCCATCTTCGGACAAGCTGGGTCTAAGGATGATACTTCATACCTCACATCTTTCTTCCCTGGATTTTTCTAGCAAGAATGTGAGTTTTGTCATTTATATTATATGAACAATTAAAAGACATCTAAGCCTTTTCAATTGTGCAAAATCCGTGATAGCCTTTGCACTTTAGGGCTCTGTCAACATCAGCAAACCATCTAAGAAACTAGATTCAATGGGACTCTCTTCTCTATGTACACCAAATTTACTACCCCAATTTTGTGGCCACATTAAAATCCTAAATATAGTGGTTTGAAGGCTGCAGTACAGTACTGAAGGGTAAGATCAAAAGAAACAGGAGTTCTTACTAGAGTCAGTAGTTCAGGACTTACACTGGGCCCACTAAGCTACAGCACGCTTTCTCTAAGTGTGAGAAAAGTAAATAGCTTACACTTATACAGACTTCTCTGTACTTGGCAAAAATCCCCTGTACATTGAATGATAAGAAACTGAAATTCACTCCTGTGAAATTCGAAATTTATTATAGCAGCAGGAGAGCCTTCCCAAGCTGCTCAGTCACACTGACTTCAACGACATTCTCTTTGCTAGTCCTGTGAGATCTAATGGCTCTAGAGTTGACAGTGAAGCCACCTGAACCAGCTCTGAAAAGTCTCTTCTCTAAAGCCATCTGTTTTCAATGTTCACCAGTGAGTTCCATGCATATAATCAGAAAAAAAGGTTATACTCTAGTCTCTACTGTAGCATTGGGCAAATAATTGCAAATTAGTGCTTCTTGAACCGAAGTCAATTTTGATTACACACACATACCTATAAAATATAAGTACCAAAGTAATAAAAAATTATTAAAGTGAAATTAAAAGGCTCCAGGGTAATTGCTGTCTACCTTCCTAAACATACTGAGTTCTCATGAGAAAAGGATCAAGTCAGACAAAAAAGATCCAGCCGTGCGAAAAGAATCAAGCTGGACATACTGGACCACGCCTTTAAGCCCAGCACTTAGGAGGCAGAAGCAGGTGGATATTTGAGATTTCGAGGCCACCCTGATCTACAAAGTGAGTTTCAGGACAGCAAGGGTTGTTAAACAGAAAAACCCGAGAGGGGGGTGGGGATCACTGTTTACTTCACTATCCCATCGTCCAGTCCTTAGTAGTATCACATGTTAAACACTCCATAACTATATTAAACCTATAAATAAAGAGCCTCCATTTAAAAAATTAAAATAGACACAGTAGTGATGACTCAGTGAGTAAGGCACCTGCCACCAACCATAGCAACCTGAGTTGGAGTCCCAGAACACACAGTGGGAGAAGAGAACCAATTCCTACAAGATGTCCTCTAATATCCACAGGCATGCTGTGGCATGTTCGTGTGTGTGTGTGTGTGTGTGTGTGTGTGTGTATACACACTGATTAAATGGGAAAAAAACTTTTTAAAGTTCCCTCATTATGTAAATAATTAAAACAAATCTCTAGTTTTCAGAAGTTGGAAAGAGTGAGTCACAAAGTCCACTCTCTCACAGACAGAAGCTCTTCCTTTCCTTTTCTGCCCACTTCTAGGAGCCCAGAGCTCATAAAACCGAAAGGGAGCCCATTACAACTATGGCACAGTTCCACACCCTACTCTCTATCTCCCTCCACTTCAAGCTCTTCATGAGTCCATGATGTCCAAAATGAAGTCTCTAGCTTCCTGGTTTCCTTACTGTCAGGTATTTATGAATCGGGTTTAGAGATAGCAGCTTCAACCTATGCAAAGTAGTAGTTCTAACTATGCTAACCACCCACATGATATCAAATGATGAAGAATATATGCCACCTGGCAGACAGTTTCCAAAACCACACAGCATACTTAATCTAACTTTTCCAAGTAAGGATAATACTTCTAAAATGAGTAAGAAAATTTCTACTTTTTAAAGAATATTTGCACTATCTTTCAAAACTACTTGGAAAGATTTCCACTGGTTCTTGACTTAAAATAAATACAATAGAGCAAGGGCTTAAAACTGTCTATAGAGGGGGTGGGGGCTGGAGAGATGACACAGAGGTTAAGAGCACTGGCTGCTCTTCCATAGGTTCTGAGTTCAATTCCCAGTAACCATATTGTGGCTCACAACTATCTATAAAGAGGTATCCTCTTCTGGTGTGCAAGCAGAACACTGTATACATAGTAAGTTTTAAAAAACAAAACAAAACACATTTCTATTGAAAACATAGACACCAGAACTCCAGAGGCCGAATGAGGAGGATTTTGAGTTCAGTTCTGGACTAGGCTACCTAGCAAGATCCTGTCTCAAAAAAACAAAACCAAAAGTAACAAACAAAAAGTCTAATCTTTAAAGTCATTAACTATACAGGTTTATAAAAGATTTGAAATATGGAAATACTGTCCAAATCTGTATAAAAAACATTCTGGACAAAAAAAAAATTAAAAGAAATGGGTTTAGATGCAGTTTCCCAGCTGCACACAAACAGCACACTACCACCTCTGGTTCATCATTAAGAATAACTGATTACATCTTTGCCAAGTGCAACCAATTCCTCTGTATAACTGCAACTTATGAACTGAAATGCTGCCTGAAGGGATGGCTCAGCAGTTAAGAGTAATTGCTGTTCTTACAGGGGATCCGAGTTCAGTTCCCAACCACCCACAACAGCTCACAGCCTACCTGTAATCCAGCTATAGGAAATCTCATGTCTCCTGGCTTCTATAAGTGCCCACATGCACATGGACACACACACACTGAAAAATAATTTTTTGTTTAAAAAACTGAAATGCTAGTCATGTCATCATTCACATAATTCTTCCATTAGCATGTATGGATCTCTGTAGACATCTTGTTTCCAGGCCTGAAAGTCATTAAAATGAAGTATACAAAGTAACTGAATTTGGGGAGCTGGAGAGATGGCTTGGTGGTTTAAAAGCATTGGTTGTTCTTCCTGAGGACCCTGGTTCAATTCCCAGCACCCACATGGCAGCTCACAATTGTCTATAATTCCAGTTCCAGGGGACCCAAACACCCACAGCAAAACACCAATGTGCATAAAGAAAAAAACAAAATTTTTTTAAAGTAACTGAATTTGGAAACTGAACTTTGTAGGGCTGCATCGACAAGAAGAAAGCAAGGGTTTAGGAATCAGAGTCGAATGTGTGCTGTAACACCTGTAGCTGTGACACAGGATAAAGTATTAACATTCACAAAACAGTTACAATAATGTCCACCTGCTAGGATTAGTGTCATCTTTAAAGAGCATTGCTGCATGACATTTCATCAACCCTCCCTCAGGACTCCCTCTCCAGTTCTCAGCAATGGCAGAGACCAAGGAAGTCTATCCAGAGGACGTCAGAACCCAATGCCCTCTTCAGCTCCTGCTCATCTTTAAGCCTCTGAATAAGATGGCTGGTCACAGAAAAGAAAAAGGTAGCCCACTCAAAATGGTACCAGGGAGGCTAAGGTGAGGGCACCGTCATGAATTCTGGGCTGCATAGCTAAGTGCCAGGGCAGCTAGGGCTTTATAATAAACCTGTCTCAAAAAAAAAAAAAAGTTTCCCATTTGCTGATAAGAAAGAATAGCAGTTATACAGTAGCCTGGCACAGTACCTGGCATGCATGAAGTGTACTGTCCTTTCAGGATTACTGAACTTGGGTTAATTACTTTGACCACCACTTTTCAGCTGACTGTGATAGCCTGAGACTACTCTGATATAGGACAAGATCTTTTCATTGCTCAAACTAGAGCTCTTTAAACTAGCATGAGTACTCTCCCTGATTTAAGTCACCTAGTTTCAATATAATTATAATTAGCACAAACTGCAAAGGAGTCTCCACAATTTACACTTCTTGATGGCAAAGAGAAGACACTACAAACCCAAGGCCTTTAAGTAAAATACTGGACATTTTAACCCATCAATGCGAATACAGCTGTATTTGGTGAACTGAAACACACACGAAGCACGGAAAACAGTGAGTCAACCTACAGCCTCTGGGAGCAAACAGGCTCTTTCAAAAACAGCTGAGTTTGCAGCTTCAGAGCGTTTGCAACACTTGCGTTTACGACCTGTCGATTTATCTCACGTGAAGCAAAAAGGCAAATCTAAACAGCACTCCTGGGGCCGCACAACCACTCACAAGCTGGGAAAACGACCTGGCCTCGTAAACATATAATCAAGCAAAACAGGCAAACCCGGCAGAAGAGGCCTTCACCTAACTTTCTCCCAGACGCCCAACGCTGTTCGAAGACAATCAGGCAAACCAAACCAGCATCCAACCTCCTCTTCACCTTTAATCTTTCCGAACGTCATCCAATAAGATAGGGTTTGTTTGCCTTGTACCCCCGCAGACCCTTACAACCCAAGAGGCAGGGCTGGTCACCTCCTTCCTGCTTCACAGACCACCAAGCAATGACTCAATTGTTCGCATGGTGTGTGCCTCCATAATATCGTTTAAGTCGGTCAACGTGATATAAGGTCGCAAACTTGCTACACTTCACACACTTCTCTGAGCTCCGCCACGCTTGAACCCAAACCATTCCCAAGGAGGGACTGAACGTCACCGACTCTGGATGACAACGCTCAGGTTTTGCCCTAAAGAGAGCGAGTCCCTAACCCTGCTAGCTGATGGCAGCTTACCCATTTATCCAAGGGGACCTGGGCGAGGGACCCGGTACCCTGATACAGGTCCAGGCTCAGCTGCTCCAGGCTCAGCTTCTCCTGTAAGAAGTGGCCCAAGTATCTCTGCAGGAGGTACCGACAGGCCCTCTTCTTAATAGACTCCGAAAATGGCCAAGGCATGTTGGTAAGGACTGGCGGCTGGGAGGGCCGGGGCTGCGCGCTGCGGCGACCGGGTCCGGCCGGCGTCCCCAGGCTGCTATGGGGTCTAGGTTCGCGGTGACCACTGCATGACAGTTCTGCGCCGCCGTCTCTCAGGGCGACCCCATGGCCCGCGTCGCGTCGCTCGCACTAGGCCCGGCGGGAACAGGTCTCTGAGCGGAACCCGGCGCCCCAAGCCAGAGGTTTTCGAAGTGTTCTGTCGGTCCGGATAGAGTATGCACGAGAGCCAAAGGGCAGGCGGCGGCGGCAAAGCGGACTCCGACACTGCGCGACAAATTTGTTGTCATCTACGAGGCGCGCTCCCGCCTCCGAGACGCTCCTGGCGCGTTCTCGAGACCTAGACTCCAGGCGCGTACTCTAATAACTGGCGCAAGCGGAAGTGACGCCTTACCGTGGGGCTGGGAAGTCAGAAAAAAAAGAGTCCGGGCGGAATCATTTCCGGTGATGAATGGGCGGGGCGACTGTGGGGGCGGGGATGGTGCAGACGCCGCAAGTCCAGCTCCAGACGCCTCGGGACGAGGAAGAGGAGGAACATGGGCGCTCGCAGGTGAGTGGGCGGGCAGGCTGCGGGCCTAGGGCCTTGATGTCCCGGTGGCGGCGGAGTGGTAAGTGCAGGAGTAGATCCGCATTTGTCCTGACAGGCCTGGGGGCGGGTCCGGCCTGGGCTGTCCTCCGGGAAGTGGTTCGCCGGACGCCACGGGTTGCAGGGCGAGGACTGGAGACTTGGTATTTCTGTCCGGGTTTTGACCGGTGCCTATTGTCAGCAAGTTGTTCCCCACCGCATGCTGGTATTGTTTGCAAAGCATCCTCCAGTTACAGTACTTTGCTCTTTGCAGAGCGCCTCTCGTGGTATGCCGCGCCGACGACAGGAAACTTGGAATTCGGGGCGTTTGTGGGCAATACTGTTTTCTCTGTTAAAATCCGGCGCCTTGCAACCCCGGGAGAACCTCATCGAAGACTTTTGTGCTCTCGGGGAGATCTGCGCAGCCGTATTTTTACCTTTTATGAGACAGTCGTGCAGAGAGGCATAGCTGGCTCCTTCATGAAGCTGCCCCTAAAGGCCGGAAAGTCAGCTGTCCTGGGTTACATTCCAGACACTCCACTGAGCCACCTTGAACCTGTGCTGCCCTCTCTGAGCTCCCGTTGCCGCCTCAGCCAGCTGTGGACAGATTAATATTATAAACTTGAGGATTGAGGAAAATGAAATGTGAACAGGGAAGGAACCTAAACAGAGTCCTGGATTGAAGAGATTGAATTAAGAAATTCTGGTTCATAAATGCTGCATCCTTAGAATCGGTTCTTTTGGTTTGGTTTGGTTTGGTTTGGTTTGTTTTTTTTTAAATAGTCTCTCACTATGTAGCTCAAGCTGACTTTGAACTTGGTATGTAGCCCAGACTGGCTTAGAACTTGGAGTCTTCCTGCCTCCCAAATGCTGAAATTTTGGGCTTACCCCATTCAGACGCTTTTTCCCTGAGTTGTAAGAAAAAGGCCTCTCATGTTTAAAAGATAGTGTTTTAGTCAGAGTCTTGGAGAAATCGAGAAAGTAGGACACGTGGATGTCTTGAGTTCTTTTCCAGACAAGAACCACCTGCAGGGTTCATCACAGGAACCATGCTTGATAAGTTCCAGGAACTTGAGGGAGGAGAAGGAGTGTGTTCTCATGACAGATGTAGGCCGTTACAAGGGTCTGATTTGTGCTCCTGGAAAAAATAAAGAGAAATACAAGATAATCTGCCTAAATTTGCTAGCTACAGTGCTGAAAATAGTCAGGTGTGAGGCTTAGAAGACTAACGGTGGGAAAAACCAGGCCAGCACCGAAAGGACAGAACAGGTAGTCCAGATTCCATGGTTTGAACCAGAATCTAACACTGAGGATTAGAACAAGTTGGGTTCTAGATATATTTGGACACTTATAAGATGCTTGCTAGGCATTGTGGCACGCACTTAATCTGAGCACTAGAGAGGCAGATGTACACAGCTCTCCTTAAATTCAAGGCCAGCTTGGTCTATATGGGAAGACCCTGTTTGAAAGAGAGACCGAGCCTAACAAGTAACAGTAACAGTGCTCTTTGTAGTATAAACAAAGCAAAGTGTAAAACAGGCCCTTGCCGAATTCCGGCCTTGGGAATTTTGAACTGGACTTTGGGCTTAGTTCTGTGACTGTTGTTAACATGGTTTCCTAACGTAATATAAAATTGCATTCAGACTGTGTCTGGGATGCCTGAACTTACACATCCCAAAAAAAGTGAAAATGAAAGATCCCACAATAACAAGCATACTACAAGCATAGTACGCCCAAATTGCTAAGTACCTTTTATACTTTCTAGGAAAGAGTCAGCATAGTTAGGATCTAAGAACTGTTATCACACCTTTAACTCAAATGGGATGCAGACTCATCCCTGCTCCCAGGGCTGTTTTTAAGTTTAGCTTAGGCAACTTCCTAGTGTAGAATGCTGGCACCATAGTATTAATTAAGGAAGATAAAGATAATTACTCAACCAGAGACTGTCAGCTTTATAAAAATTAGTGGCCGGTTAGAAGGTGCATCAAGTGAGAATAATAATCTAAATAGGGATTCACACAGGTTCGCTGTGATGGTGTTGATTATATTGCAGACCTGCCTGGGAGAGCCCAGGGGAGCATGCATACCTATCATCCCAGCACCTGGGAAGTAAAGACACAAGGACCAGGAGCACAATGTCCTCCTTGGTTACATACCAGGTTTGAAACCTGCCTGAGTTGATGTGACCCTGTCTCAAACAACAGGGAAAAATCACAGGCCAGTAACATGGTTCAGCAGGCAGTCACTTGCCGCCATGCCTGATACCCTGGATTCAGTTCCCCAGGCCCCACGTGGTAGTAGTTGAGAACCAGGTTTCCCCAGTTGTCCTCTATCTCCACATGAGCACCATGGCGTATGCAAAACCCACCCACCTACCCCCCAGCACGCACGCACGCACGCATATATAAACATGAAGAATATTATTTAGAGAAAGGTGTGTACAGAACAAGACTACAGTGTCGAGACTGCCATGCCCCAGCAGCAGCCATCAGTGTGCATGTGCACTGACCCTGGACTCAGAAACCTGCAGTTTTCGGATCTGCAGCTGCCTTTTTATTTCTTGAGCATGATGGTGAATGCCTGTAATCACAGCTTTTGGGAAGCAGGGACAGGAATGTGGCTCATTCAAGGAGGGCTACCCTCAGCTACATAATAACACTTTATCTCAATAAAGAAGACCAGGATAACTGAAGAGATGGCCAAGAGCTCTTACTGTTCTCCAAAGGACCCAGATTTGTCCCAGCACCGTGTCAGGTGGCTCATAAGACACATACCTACAAATAATTAAGAATAGTAAACTTTGGGGCTGGAGAGAAAGTTAAGAGCACTGGCTGCTTTTCCAGAGGTCCTGAGTTTAATCCCCAGGAACCACATGGTGGCTCACAAACATCTGTAATGAGATCTCATGCCCTATTATGGTCTGCAGGGACATCTGCAGGCAGAGCACTGTATGCATAATAAATCCTTTACAAATATATTAATTGTCCTAATTTTCAAATGATTAATAATAATAAACTTTGAAAACAAGGCCAGGTGTGGTGGTCCACACCTTTCTCCCCAATACTCCAGAGGCAGAGACTTGCCTTAAGTAGTGAGTGCCCCATCTGTCAGGGATACATAATGGGACTCTGTTTCAAAATAAACAAAAACATACTGACTGTAGGACTGGAAAGATGGCTCAGCAGTTAAGAACCACTGCTACTCTTTTAGATGCCCCAAATTTCATACGCAACACCTATATGCTAACTCCTCAGTCTAACTGCAGTCCCAGGGAATCCCGACATCCTCTTCTGTGTCCTCAGCATCAGGCTCTTACCTGATACACAGACAAAGATGCAGGCAAGACACCCATATACATAAAATGTATTCTTTAATTTTTACAAAGCAAATTCATAATGTGTACTAATAAGCAGGAGTGGGGAGCTAGGCATCAAACCTAGGGCCTCACACACTCAGCAGACACTCTACTATTGAGCGCTATCACCAGCCCCAAGAGATATTTTTTTCCTTTGGAGATACCATCTCATTGTCATCAAGATTGACCTAGTACTTGCAGATGACACTCTTAATTCACCCTCTTTCTGTCTCATGCCCCTGAATGCTGGGTTTACAAACGTGCCGCCACATCTGGCCCCAGCATAGTTCTTGAACTTAGCGTGTGCCCGGCACTACTCCAAGCACTTTGTTATGTTCCCCTATCTAGACCTGTCAGCACCATTTAAAGGTCGATTTTAGTGTTAGCCTCACTCCAGAAAGAAGGAATGTGAAATCTCTTGCCTGAGTTCCAGAGCATCCAACAGAGGTTCCTGCCCTGATCAGTCTGCTTGAGAGCCCACCGAGCACAACACCATACTGCCACTGGTCATGTGGAGAGGACTTTTCCAGATTAAAACGTAAGACAAAAATAAAGGGCATAATGTTGGTCATTCCCGCTATCACCTGACAGGTGTGGTGGCACTGGGAAGCCACACCTGCTTTAAAGGATTGCTGATCTCTGCCCTGTCAGGCACTTTGTTGTGAAGAGATGTCTATCTGTCTCTTTGTCTCTTCTGTCATCACTGGTGACTCTCCCAATCTTTGCTACTCTGAGTTTGCAACACAACAAAATAAGGTCTAATGAAATAAAGTGGAGAATGTAAGATCCAGCAGTCAGTATCTTGATAGTTTATGAATCTTCAAAAAACAAAAATGGTAGCACGGCCCAGAAATCACCAACAGATGGAGAAAGCAGAGCCCTGAATCACTTATGTGGGTGTTTTAGAGGATCCTTGCTGGACTCACCAGACAAACAATTTGGTGCTTGAGAATAACACATGGCACTTGTGGAGTTGCAGTCTTTGAAGGTTCTGACCACAGAAGGCTGCTCACTGTGGTAGACAGAGCAACAATGTTAGGCTTAAAGGAAAGTGGTGATACTTTAAGATGATTTTATGTGCATTGAGTGTTTAGCCTGCATGTATGAATGTGCACTCTGTGTGTGCCTGATGTCTGAGGAGACCAGAAGAGAATGCTGAATCTCCTGGGACTGGAGTTAAAGGCTGTTGTAAGCTGCCATGGTGCTGAGACTCGAACCTGGGTCTTCTGGAAGAGCACCCAATATTGTTAACTACTAAACCATCTCTCCTGTCCTGGGATCTCTATTCTGAATTATTTGTTTTATGTTGGTTAGAATTTTCCCTATTTATATCTCCAAGAATCCAGTTTCCTGGAGAGCTGTGTAGTAAGAATCAGTACTGCCTAGCTTTGGAATG